GGCCCATCAGTCCAGCCTGTCCAGGTCCCTCTGCAGGGCCAGCCTGTGGAGAAGCACTAGCACTTACACACTTTGAAGCAGATACTTGAAACTTAATGAGAAGATAGCTTTTTGATTGTCACTGAAAATCAACTCCAAGCTAACTGACTAACAAGCCTCTGAAAAATTGGTAGCTTGTTTATGCTTAAAACACCCTGCTAGAGAATGCTTATGTTCTTCAAAGATTCAATCTGCAGTGAGCCTGCACAATTCAAATGTCAGGTTTCTCTGAGCAGCAGTGCTGGGGCTGGAAGTGGAAAATTTGTTGATTTTGTTTTTGGAGTGCTTTTCCTGAAACTGCCCAGAGCACATGGAAAGGGAAAATACCAGGCTCGAATGCTGAGATGAAGTGGTGGGGTAGGAGGAATGGACTGGGACATACAGGCTCAGTGAAATGACAGGAGGATGGATGCTGATGTAGGGGTCTGGGAGAGGGATGTATAAAGAGACTGACAAGCAAGCAGGAGGTTGAAGGGAAAAAAGTAGGGGCTGAAAATATGTGGGATTGAAAAGTGACAGTGTAAGAGCAGAAGGATATGCTGAAGACCTAGAGTGTAAAACAGGGCTGTTTCAACCAGTAAACTGGGATTAGTATGAGAAGCCTAAAGATTGGAAACTGGCATGAAATCTAGGAACAGAGAAGAAGCAAAGAGAGAAGAACAGGTTTTAGGGGAAAAAAATGAAATATCTCTACCATGTAGAATACATTTTCAGAAAAGTGGAGAGTACAAATGAAAAATCTATGTTCCTGTCACTATCTGATTGAAACTGATTTCTGAAGTGTCGGTCTTTTCCTCCTTCAGGAGGAATGGACATCTGATGGATATGTATATGTCTGGTAATTTAGTAAGGACATAGGGTGCATCATTTGCTTAAGGGCAAAGACCTGTATTATGATGTGATGAGAAGAAAACCCTCCCTAAATTCTGAGTGTTTACAAATGTATGTTCACACACATACATGATAAAGGAAAAGCATAAAAAATTTGGAAGTTCAGGTACTCAAAAGTTAAGATTATCCCAAAATGGAAGCTCTTTCTGTAGCCTTAACCTATCCCTCCCTATATTTATTTTTCATTTTCATAAATGTACAATTATTGTAGTACAGTCTTTAAACTGATTGAGTGCTATCCCTTGGGGAGGAATCCTGCTTTTACAGGAAAAATAAGACTGATACTGGAAATTAATCCAAGTCAGAGAGTGAAGGATAACTGTTGGTTGTAGAACTGCTGCAGTATTTGTTGCAGCAACTACATGGTTGTGAATGAGGCAGGAGAATGTTGAAAGGAGAGGAAAAAAGTTACCCTTGTTGAAGGCAACGGTTGTTGCCTCTGAAGTTGGATTCTATCCTGCATCTTGCCTAGGCATCACACAGAAACTCTGTGGCAGTCATTTAAATCAGTTTTCACAAGTGTGCCTCATTTTCTGGATGTCCAAATGAAGACTTTGAAGTCAGGTTACAGAGGTTCTGAGCTCTCACAGCTGCAAGTGAAGTCAGCAGGCACTGGTTTTTTTTAAGTGCTATATAATGTTAAGTGCTCTGAAGAATAAAGTACTGCCTGTTTAAAACTGGCAAGGAAAATTTACCAAAACTTTTCCTCATTCTGTCTACATTTGCTACCCATTTATAATACTGTCCTTTGTTTTCTGGTTAGAATTTGAAAGAGAAGCATTTGGATGTTCTAAAGAGGATTACCACAGAAACGCCCATGAGGAAATTAGAAAAATGTCTTCTCAATAATGTTAGAGTAGGGTTCAATAATTAAAAGCAATAGACCTGTTCACTGAACTAGGATAAGAGAAAATAAGGGATGCTGGCACTGTGAACACAATCCATCATTCACATTGTATAATGCTGGAACTGTGTAAACTGTGGAGTTGTGGGAAAAAATGGAACTCTGGAAACAATTATTTTTTCATACAATTAAAGACTGTATCACAAAGTAAACCAACAACTCTGATTCTTTTTAGGCAACCTTTATTCTGACAGTTCCCTAAACTTTGAAAGCCTAGCTTTACAGCTTTGATACAATTTTTAAACTAACTGTGTGTGTCTGTGTATGTGTATGATACTTGACTTTATGCATTTCATTATTGATCGAAGCAAACCCTTACTTTCCTTCTTAAATCAAGAGCCTTGAGCCAAAATGTGGATTCATTGCTAGGGTGTACATACGCCTTTGCCTTTGTTGGTTTTGTGGCAAGCTACCTGATCTGTCAGGATCTTTAAAAATATCATTATTAAATTCATCATGGAAGAAACTGTAGTCATTGCTTTTTTGATGTGAAACTATTACATTAAATTACTACACACCAAATTTCAGCTAACATTATTTCTTTTTTTAAAGTGCTTTCTTCAGTCTGTATTTGTTGTTTGTTTCAGTCCTGAGAGCTAACATATAATACATTCTTTCCTTTTTTTATTTAACAGATCTAATTGTAGTAGTAGCCTCAATTATTGTTCTGAGCATAGGATCTAATGGACAGGTGTTTGCCACCTCTGCAATAAGGTATGTTCTTAAAGTAACTGTAGCTGTTCACAACCGCAGAGCTATATTAGATGTATATCTAATTTCCCAATTTCCAAATTAGATGTATATGTAATTTTCCTAATATAGGAAAAGTTATTATATTGAAACACTGGACAGTGGAAGACTGTGTGTTATTGTGCTTCGTCAGTGGTTGGGAAACAAGAGTGCAGAAACAAGGCATATGAAGAGTGGTGGGAATGCTGAAGCCAAGAGGAAACAACTAGAGAAACATTATGTCCTATGTGAAACATCAAACAGCTCTTTTTCTGAGACAAAAGAGTATTACAGAACATGGGTTTATTTAAGAAGTAATCCAGACAGCACTTAACTCGGTACTTTTTGAGTATGAGTAATTGCTTGGTTTAAAGAGTAATTATGCTTTGGTGGATTTGTTTGGCACAAGTAACTCATACCATACATGAACCAGAAACATTTGATGTCTACAGTGTTTGTTCAGCTTGCATCAAGTACTGCAAGCTTGTTTTGGGAAGTAAAGCGGGTAAATAGAAGAAAGGAATGATAAGCAGAGTAGGTGTACTTCCCACTCCTGACTTAATTTGCAAGATGTACTGCATGTTCTGTTACAAGCCTCTGACTTCCAATGCAGTCTAATCCCTGGAAAGTGAGAATGTCCAGTACTGTCTAAACTGTCTAGCTGTGTAGACAAACACTGGAGGGAACTGCATGTATAAAGTATTTTTAAGGTAAGTATTACTATAGAACATTAATCCTTACATGATGATAAAGACTCACACAGGCAGCATGAATGTGATTTATCAGCTCAGATAGAAGAGGATGGTGAATGTGAAAATTCCAAAGATTTTGTTTAATTTAACTGGAAGTGTAGGAAGGACTTTAATGAAAAGACCCACTGTGTGTTTATACATGAACCCAGGTGGCTTTGGGCTCAGTGCAGCCTTTCCTGGTGTTAAATTATGCAGTCACTGTCCTACAACTCAGAATGCATTCTGCCAGAGAAGCTTAACCCACGTCTCTGCAGTGTTGTTATTGCCCATTGAAAAACCATCTGGGTCAGGCAAGTCTTAGTCCCATCAGGTTTCCTCAGACCTATGATGTGAGTCGCTGCTTTTGAATTAAGAAGGAATGAATCTCATATCCTTGCCAGTCCTTTTGTTGTTTTTAAGGTATACTCTTATGGTCTTCTTTGGACCTCCCTTAAATCCCAGCAATCCCAGAAGGCATGGGTGCAGGCATGTTAGGTTGTTTTCTTGTAGAATGAATTTGCAAGCTCCAGACCCACGAGGTATGACAGGTTGACATTCTGATCCCTGTAGCAACCAGTGAGACTGAAACCAGCAGCACTGCAGAGTTCACAGCAGAGTCCTATAGCCTTCTGTCCTTACTGTTTTAAGTTCATCAGATTGATAAAAATGGTCTTCTTTCCAACCAATTACTTTTCTTTTTTTCAGAGGAAATGAGTGGTGCATGTTCAGAGGCTGTGTATCTGGAGTTTCTTGTTCACTATCTTGTTTTTTAGCTCCTTATTTGTAAAACTGCCGGCCTATAACATGCATGTCAGCCCTTGGTGGTAACGTAGCTGTAACCGTCTCAGATAAAACAGAGACAGGAAAATTAAGAACTGCCATTATGTCAAGGCATCAAGAGGTGTGTCTAATTATTGTACAGGGGAACTACATGTAGATCTCTCCCCTCCTGACATAAGCAACCAGTGAGCTATTACATCAAGTAAGTCTATCAGCGCTCATGTATTTGGTAGTCTTGTAATTCTTCTTTGACTCATGTTCTAATTAATGGGTTTTAAGTGGATATTTTAAAGTTTTCAGCTAATTAAAATTATTATTCCAATGGCATATCAAAGATATAACAAAACATAGTGTTCCTATACCCAGTCACTGATATGTGATTTGATAGTCAGGATTATTGTGTGCTTTCCAAAAAAATGACAAGCATTTGATCATTTGACTGTCAGCTGTGAAAGCTCAGAAAACCTGCTTTCTGAATAAAGGAAAAGTTGGGTCTTTCAGAAGACATTATGCCTTCCCAGTCTGAGTAACACCGGTGAATGAAGGCACCATGCTGAGTTTCCTGCCTGCTGGTGTAACCCAGAAAAATGCAGCCATGGTGGAATTGAAATAAGAACATAGAATTAAAAAATAAAAAACCCATCAACAACAAAATTTTAAGGGTAGCTTAAAAGAGCTAAAAATACTTTTAGTGAAAAATTTTTGGATAGATGAATTCAACATTCATCCTTTCCTGCTCTTCACTGTTTTGTTTCAGTGCTAAGATAGTCAGATGAGTGTAGGCAAACCAAGTTCATTGTCGAAAGAGTGACTAGAATGAAGTATTTCTATTGAATAAAATTCTGCTGAAGAACCATATGGATAATTATTTTTCTTTAGTTGAAAATATTTAGAGTTTATGATTCAGTTATTGTCTTAAAATCACATAGGACTGTATCTATTTCCAATTAGAAGATTTCTATAACTTACACAAAAAGGGCTTCAGTAATACCATGTTTGATTCACATTCTGCTTTTGGCAAATAGAGAAAAAAGTATGCTCATATTTATGTTAGCAAAACTTGAAGCACTGGTTTTGCTTGGAGAGGAAACATTTGAGAATTGTAATCAGGTAAAATATGCAAGTTTCCTCTGAGTTTGAAAACATATATTTCAGACTTGTTTGTTTGTTTGTTTTTCTTTTAACTAATTGTTGTCCTAGTCAATATTTCTGAATATATTAGAATGTAATGAAATGTGATCTAAACATACTCTCTACTGAGGTGCCTCAAGTCTAAGATGCAAACCTAGCCAGGGGCAATGCTATCATGGCTCTCTAATATGGCAGTATGTTAGTGAACATAGTCAACTATGTACAGATAGAGCAGTATTGTTCTCAATCATTAGTTTTATTTAATGTCCTATTTTTCTTACAGGGGGATCCGGTTTCTCCAGATACTTCGCATGCTTCATGTAGATCGACAGGGTGGCACCTGGCGACTATTAGGATCAGTTGTTTTCATACATCGTCAGGTACTAGATCTTTAAAGATCCCCAGCATTTTGTTTACTTTAGTATATTCTTTTCAGGGACATCAAATCATAGTCTGGTTTAAAAGAACAGTTACTGTTGCAAATAAAAAAAAAAACTTTAAATGTCCATCATGTGTTTCTACTTTTAAAATGGGAACACTATTCTTTACTTCAGGTCAGTGGCTAACAGGGTATCAGCATCAGTATATTTTGGAAATTAACTGTTGTACTCTTTGATGTTATTCAATATAATTTATTAAATGCAGTTACGTGGGCTGCCTTTCATATTGCAAATACTGTCCACTGTCTTCACAGAAGATGTGTTCCTAGCTTGGTTGTTCTGTGGAGAAACGAATACTAGTAGAAAAACCTTGATAGAAAATGTAAATTATTTAAATCATCCTATTTTCTCTGCCTGAATAAGGAGTTTTCTAATCCATTCTATAAATAAAAATACTATCTTATGACAATATGCAAGAAAATTTACTTTTTCAAAGGTGTTGTCAAAGAGGTAAACGTGGCTGTAGGTAGTTGTATGTCCGTTAAAGCTTTGAAATAGTTATTCTGTATAAAAGTTCAATAAGCAGGAAAAGCTTAAATGTTTTAGTGCAGACTTTTAAAAATTTCTAGCTGAAGGCTTCTTTTTGGGGCTTCATGGAATCTCTTGATGAAAAGCCAACTTAGCTTTATGAACATAATAATAAACTTTTATCATTAGCCTTTAAATCTTGCATTATCATACCATACTGTGGAGGGCTAATACTGTGCTGTGAACCTTTACATCAGACTTATAAGGGTGGTTCTTTAATCTACTCTTTATGAGTGTAGATTTGTTCTCCAGATGTTGACATAGTTATAAATTTCCACACAGACATTGTTTCATTTGCTATTTAGAAAACTGTTGTTTTGCAGCAGCAAATGGGAGGTACTTAATCCAAAAGATTAATTTAATATTAAAAATTACTTTTCTTCCCTTTTTTTTTTCCCCTCACTACTGTAGGAAATTTTATGTCATGATGGCTGTGCAGCATTGATGCACACCGAAGTGCTCTAATATAAAGCCTACGTTCATCCTGTACAACAGGATGACTTTTAATGCTCCAAGTCTGTGTGGTCTTCATTTATTATGGTCGCATGGCCTGGATATCTAGCTAGGGCAGAGCTGATATCCAAATACACTTTCTCAACATTTGCTAGCCTTACTGACAGAAGTGTTTGAGAGAATTTTTTCCTGTGGATGTTCAGAGTTTTATTCAAGAATCTGGAAATACTATCTCCAAAATATAACACTTAAGTCTTAAATGTCACAAACATAAATAAGTTCAAGGATTTAAAAGGAAAAAAAGTACCCTTGGAGAAGTGAATTTATGAATAAACGCCCCTGAAGTTCTGCTAATCCAAAGAAGTGATTATGATGATATATAAAACTCTACAGATCTGTAGTACTTGTCAAAGCAGATCACCCACTAACATATTAATAAAAAAAAAGTCAAACACACAGTTCTGTATTGACATTGGACAAGTGTAGCTGAAACCCTAGCATGGTACTAAATGGAAGGGAAAATGGAACCTTTATTCCTGTCCAGTCACTTAAAGAAATTTTTGTTTAAAAAAAAAAACCAAAACAAAAACACCTTCAGCTGCTTTTTCTTTACAAGGCAGAGTACAAGGTCCTCATTTATTTGTTGAGTTTGGTGCTCTTTCAGAAAAAATGGGACCCTAAGCCCTAAAACAATGTGAGAAAATAAATTTGCGTCTTTGTGACCTGTGAAAATAACAAGCACTTGGACCTCTGTGGGCCCAGAAGAGCTTACTAAAGTTGTCACCAATGATTTCCATGTGTTTTGGAATTTTACATATAGCTGTATTAGCTCACTCAGGCCTGATTTGGCTAGGATGCTCTTCTATTTTCAGCAGGTTGAGCTTATACAAGCATTTCTTGCCAAAAGTAACAAAACATGAGTCAATATCACATGTGGTGATGGAAAGACATGGAAAAACCATGCAGCTTACTGAAAAACTGAGTTAGCCAATCCAGCTCCAGCTTGTAAGCCTCTCAGTTTTACTTATTCCTTACCTTGCTTTGTGAGGTGTACTACTGCTTTGAGGAGGGAGTTAGCGATGAGTTGTGGATTTGGGGGTTTCTTGTGTGTTAAATTTTATATTGTATGGTCCTTATTGTAACTGAAAATATAAATCTAAGTTAAAAAAATGTGTTGACTCCGGTCTCTCAATATTCAAATTTACCTTTGTGCATATTTGTTTTTTGTTCTTGCTTTTTCTTTTGCATATGTGTATCTGAAAGTCCTTGCTGAAAACAGACATTTGTATTAGGCAGTACTCTTTATTCTTAAGCCATTATGTATTAAAAATCATATAAAGGTGAAGTTTTAAGGCCTGATTTCTGCAAAATGCTCTTTGCTTTGAAGTCGTGTATAAATTCATACTATTTGACATTGGTAGACACCAATCTATCCATATTTCTTGAAGCATGTATTATTTTAAAATCTTCTGCACTCCGTTTTAAATGCAGTGTGTATTAGATTGCTGCCATTGTTCTTAATTAAATACAGGCATGTAGTATTTTGTCTGTCTATACATATGTAACATGGAGTGACATTTAGAATAAGTCTAAGGCAATTACGTTTTCATCTGGGCTTTACTTAAAAAGAGTTCAGTCTTTAGATGAATAGGACTGGAGCCGAGAGGTGCCAGTGGTGAAATAAGCAGAGTAGTTCTGTTGATATTTCAACTGCTTGGAAAGGATCTCATAAGACTATGCATAGCACTTCTCAAAAGCATATTTTTCTGCATGCTTCTCAAAAAGCCAGCACTTAACACAGAGGTATTCCAATATCATCCATTCTCTAATTCTGTCCTCTGAGACAAAATTAAAAGCAAGCAGTGATGGCCATTCCTCAATAACATGTAAAATCTATAAATATCTGAGATGTAAGCAAGATGCCTAGTGTAAATAAAAGATTTCTGTTGATGTGGAAGGAAGTCACAAATCTACTAGAGATGAAAGCAGAGTGTTTTCTTTGTAAGCAGGCAACAAGAATTAGTCTCCATTTCTGTGGTAGTTTTCTATGGATCACTGAACTTACAGTCTCAGGTGCTAAACAGTTTCACCTTGCATTGAAAAAATATTGTGTAGGCAAACCGAAAAGTTGTGAAAAATTAGAGAAATGCAAATAGTCAACTATAAATGTAAACACAAGGAACTTTTCAGAGCAATTAAGCCATATGTACAAGTACACTGTATGCCATTATCACTAGAGAAAAAGATGAGAAAGGAATGGTGACCAGCATAGAAATCTGAACTACTGAAAACCCAAGTTTTATTACCTCTTTCAGCTGCCTTGTTTAGCAAACAAGCCTGCAAAAAGTTAAGGCTTAGATTAAAAGACTTGCCCATGAGCAAAACTGAATAATATCAAAATTCATTATTTAGGTCATTTTTAAATGATTAGAGAAAAAAACACCTTCTTTCTTCTATGCCAAGATTACTTAAAAACTTGCTGAACCTAGATTTAATTAGTGCTATAGCAGAAAGAAGAGTATATGTAGTTCCTGCTGCTAAATCCAGTTACTGGCTACCAGGGCTACATTTTCCCAGAAAGCTCTTATAAGGAAATGAAAAGAAAGAAATAAAAAAAGATCTGAAGGAAGTTTGATGATAAAACCTGAACCTTCCCACACGAACAGTTTAAGAGACATGGGTAGAGTGTTACAGAAAATCTGTGAAAACATGACATACTTTATAAGTAAAGGCAATCCTTCTTAGGTTTTAATTTTAAATTTATCTTATGGGAATATTTTAATTCCCGTATTGGTTTGGATCCGAGGAAAGAAAAATAACTCTGTCAAGAATTTAAGGAAGATGCCAATGAAGATGTAGCACTACAGTGTTTCATAATGAAGATGTTTAAATATGTGCAAAGAAAATAAAGGAATAATTTGTGTTAATTGTTGAAGCATTGTAAACTTTTAAGTAATTAAAATAAGCTATTGTCCCTCATAACTAGGTATTGGATTTTCCTGAGGGGTAGGTGCATAACTCATTCGATTATGATGTAGCACTGCTTTTGTAAGCTTTACACATCTTTGCATCTGTGACACCACACATTTTGGCTTGTTTAAATGCACAAGCATATTTTTCCTGAAAACTGTAACAATCCTGTATCTAAGTCACATCAGTTCTGATACAACTTTCCTATCCAAAAATCTATAGAGAAACTGGTACATTCACAAGCACTGTATCATGCCCTGACAAAAGTCCCTTCTAATAAGCTGGGCTAGCCTTAAACAGTCTTTGTTTTTCAGGACTGAAGTAGAAGTTACACCTACCTAGCATATTTTATCTTAAGATTTTATTTTATCTTAACATGAAAATGTTAAAGCATCAGTATTCAGTCATTGCTTAAGCAATCTAAATATCAGATACACAAGTTCATTGCTTAGATATGGTCATAATCACAAGACATGGTTGTTATTTCTTCACTCTTATTTTAGCATACTGTTCATAAAGTGCATTTCTAAAGCTGTTTTACTATTTTTAAAATGTATTAACTTTTGGTATTTTGAGTGTACAGTTGAATGGAATGATTCCTATTCACAAGACATAAAACAGGAGAGATGTCCCACCCTATATTTAGTTGTCCAAATGATTGTGTATAAATGATGGCTTCTTGAATTCTTTAGTCTGATATGTATAGAAAACAAGTCACTGAACTACCTGTTTTACTAGAAGTAAATTTCATACCTGAAATACAACATTAATTTTTCTACTGTGATGCAAAAAATCCCCAGATATATGATGTAAACCTTATGCACTTGTTTGCTTTCTCTTTTAATAGGAACTCATAACCACGTTGTACATTGGATTCTTGGGATTAATTTTTTCATCCTATTTTGTTTATCTTGCTGAGAAGGATGCAGTTGATGAGGATGGAAAAACAGGTTTCTCCAGCTATGCTGATGCCCTTTGGTGGGGTGTGGTAAGTCTTTACCAACAAAATGCGTGCGCAGACTTAGTGCACAAGATTTTCTGTTGAAGTTGTGATGTTTTTAAAGAATCTGGCATTTCTTTCTTTGCAGAATGTATTTCTGTAGGGAAGCTCAACAACCTTTTAAAAAGGATACAAGAAAAAGTATAATAAATACAATTAAATTATTTTGGTATTAAACTTTATTGTGAAAGCATGATAGAAAGTCCTTAGCAAAGGACATTGAATGTTTATAGATACAAAAGGTCCACATTGAAATCTACATTTCAAAAAGAATATAAATACGCTCCAAAACCTATACCACTTCTTTTATACTCTACTTAGTTATCTGCAAAAGATGCATAACTTTAAAAGTATATTCTATTTGTGGAAGTTGGGTTAATGACCTATTTTTTTGGCTCTTTTTGTTTAAAGCTCACTCTTTCAGTAATAAGGCAGACCTTGATGCAGGTTACAGGTTCCTCGGGTTTTTTTAATAATTCCATGATTCACTGTAAAGGAAACCAGCTCCACCAAAAGCAGCTGGCAAAGCTTCACATATTCACCAACTACTTTGGATATCAATCATCAGTCAGGGTCAGTGAAACAAAAATAAAGAAAAATAAAGAAAAACATATCATTAAGGGGCAACTGGGATTTTGAGAGCATTGTGCTAATTATTGTGTGCCTGCCCAGAACCAGTTGAAAAAGGAATAGATAGCTATGAACAGAATAAGAGACCAGATTGTTTCTACTCTTACTTCATATGGCTCTTCTCATCATGTTTCTCACTGTGACTCATGCTTTCCTTCCTTATTAGCTGTTGCACGAACCATCTCTCCTCTTGCGGTCCATTTTCCCCACTAGAGAACCTCATATATTTTATGAGTTGGCAGTCTCATTACAAAAAACTCAAGGAGATCCATCACATCAGTGTTAGTGACGGAGAAAATGAGAGGACTAGAACAGATGCAGAGCCACCAACTTCGAGAGAGAGAAGGATATATTTCAAAAGTGATTTGAAACACAATAAACTGGATTTGTTCTTAGATGATAGACTTGAAAAATGCGAATATAGTTATTAGGCCATAAACCAATTGTTTATCTGCATCCAAATAAACTGGTGAGTAAGTCTGGGAAAGCAGACAAGAAGTTCCTAATAGATATATGTTTCTAATCCTTAACTTAGATGCTGCATAAGCTTCTACTTCAATGAAATATACAGAAATACAGATAATATTACATGTAGCCCGAGTTACCACTTTTTAAGTGGTTCAGTATAAAAATATTTTAAATATTAAATTCTTGTCATTAGGTTGTCAGGTATTAATTTCATTTGCAGGGTATCACCTATGGTTGTGCAAAACAGTACAAACCAAGAAGAATCTAGTAAAAAGGAAAACTCCACTAAACGGCCAGATGGACCTGATTATCTGCTGTGCTGGGAAGAAATGAAACCATAAACTAGCCCATACAACAATCACTTTGTTAAAGTTTTCAATAGACATATGATGAAATTTTCAGAACATAAAACCTCCAGACATGAGATAACCTCTAGCTAGTGGAGGAAAAGAATAAACGTCCCAGAAGCACAGATTGTGCTATATTTTAAAAGTAAAACAATTAGGGTGTAATTGACATTATGAAAGACGCCCCATGTCTACTTTAAGAAAAAATCCAGTATACAGGCTCACTTATTCTGCTATTATTTGAGCAGTTCAGCTCAAATACCAGTGATCAAATGACTGAACTCAGTGGAACACAGCTACTGTTTCTGTTTTTACTAATGGTCTAGCTGAACAGTCTGTGAAGTACATCTAATTTAAAAGTGGGCTGCTTGTGGGAAGTTCAGCAGCATTAGGGGCTCCCATAAAAGTTTGCACTAGTTCAGCTAAATCTATGAGAAATATATCATAAATTTTTCTAGCATAGTGAAATTCCAAAGAGATTTGTAGCGCCATGTGAATTAGAATGACACCAGTGAAAGAAATGGAAAGCATATAGTTTATTAGTAAGGAGATCTTAATATGTAATCATTAAAGGATGGTGATTCATGTTTGCTCTGCACAATGTCTTTGGTGTTTCATATAGTAATTCCTAGGCCTGTAACTGCAAAAGGCCAGAAATGCCCAAATTCAGACCTGAATGGGAGGGAAGAATCCCCTTATCAAACTGGGGGGAGCAAGGTACAGTGGAAAACAAAAAAGGATTTTCAGCAATCAGTTTGGGAACTAGCTATGGGTTTAGCATCCAGTTCTGCCCATGTATATTCATGCATGGGTCATTCCTGCATGTAATAAAATTTCCATGTGAAGCCAGTGTACTTTTTCTACCTTTCCTTCTTTTTTATTTTTTTAGCTCTAGTTATCCAGAGCTTGCCTTATGAGTTTCATTGAATGTTTCGATATGGATTACAAAATATTTTTAAATGCTAGAAGCTGCAGCCTTGATTTGCATAAAGAGTAAAAAATTAAGGTCAAAAAGGTCACAATGTGTTCATACAAGCATATTTTGTTAATATCTTGGGCTTAAGGAATTTAACAGGAGTTCAGTTATGAAGACCAACAGATAAGTTTAAAATATGCATTACTTTACCTTGTTGAGACAAATGCATTACTTTACCTTGTTGAGACAGATGAATTGGAATCTGTATTTCAAAGCGTATGTATATGCCTTGTGAAGTGTTCAATGGGTTTTGTTGTTGTTTTCCAAAACTTGACTTGTTTTGTGTAACAGCAAGATAAAATCAGCTTTGTCTTTCTCTAGCTGTGTGAGGCACATGAAGAACACTGTTTAAATTGTTGTTTAAGCTTTTCAGATGCCTAGGCCTCCTCAGCATTAGTGAGTCACAGTGCAGGTGCAGTTCACAGCTGGGAACAGTGACAAAGGACAAAGTGAATCAGTTTCTTTTTCTTTTCAAATCTTCTGTAACATAGAAACACAGATGTGGAGTTACTAGGGAGTGAAATTTGATTTCACTTTTGCCTTTCAAAACTGAACCATAGGAAAAAAAAATCTTGGTAGCAAGTATTTGAAAGTCTTATGTGTCTGACAAAAACCACAGAGTGTGTATTATGGGTAACATTTTGCTTTGAGTAGAAAGTGCAAGCTTGCTGAACTTGATACAAATGACCTGAAAGGCCTAAATATGAAGAAAAGGGAAAATAAAGAATGAATGAGAGTTGGAATGAAATGCTAACTACATTCACCCGCTCCAGTTAAATGCAAGGTTGTTTCACCTAGATTTGGCAGGCACACAGATTAAACTGCGAAGACATATCAAAGGCTTGTGGTTTTCTATATGAAGCCACTTTTAGAAGCTATAGCATGTTAGAACACATGCAAAAGCATTTCCAATAGCACTGTCAGTCTGACAGAACTGCAACCCATGTCACAGCAGTTTTTCTGTCCTTTCTGGGTATTTTTTCTTGAGGAAAGAAGAAGGGCATGTAGGAGGCTTCTCTTCTGTTGGCCCTTCCGTGCTTGTCTCTTAGCATTGCAGTGCTTATTGTTTTTACTGCAAACTGGACTATTCTGTACCATTGAACTTGAGCTAAATAGTTGCTCCAGTAAATTGGTGTTAACTGGCAGAGGTACTTGGGATCAATTGCTCAGAATTTCCAGTAGTAAATTTCCATGCCAGAGGTAGCAGTTTGAACCCCTTTATATTTAATATGTTTTTTGAGGTGTGCAGTTCAGACTTTTCAAACTTCAGGACACCTGCCTATCTTAAAGCATGTGAGAAGCTATGCTGACTTCTACTAAATTAGAGTTCTTCCTTTTTTGAGGCGTACATATATGTTTTCAGAGCCTGTGTTAGACCATGTGCCTACCAGCTGGAATGTGCCATAGTAAACCTGTGTTACGAAGGAGGTGTCATTTTCCAAAGCCTAGTTATTAAACATTCTCTGAGCAGATAAATAATAACTTTTGGATATACAAGTAGAAAAAGATTCTGGTTGTGATTAAGAAAGCCAGAGAATTACATTATTTATAATTCTTTCCACATACTTCAATGCACTAATTAGATTACCAAGAAGGAACCCTCTTAAGGTAGCCAGGGAGAAACTTTCTGAGACATGTTCAGGCACCTGCAGGAATCTGCCAGCCAAACGCCTGCTGTAGAGATGGAAAATCATCTTTTCTGTGGTTACAGCTTTCATACTGTCTTCCATAGTAACGCTAAAGGCAGCTCAACATTACTGCAGTTTGTTTTTAAGTCCTGAGTGCTGGAGAACTCAAAAAAAAAAAAAAAAAAAAACCCCACAAAAAAACAAGAAGCCTTTCATAAGAAAAAAGAGAGGAAAAGGAAGGAAAAATCCCAGACTTTAAGGGGTCATCTGGGTGCACTGAGGAGCTGAAGTGCTGTTAAAGAAACACTGCTTTAACTTCCTCCACTCCCCACTAACACATACTGCATTTCAAAGTTGAATTTTGGGGGGTCTGCTTTAATTTTGGGGGCTGGCAAACTCATCTGTTTGTACTGCTGGTAATACACAGCACCTGAGTCACTTCATGGGCAAGCCACATTAAATCTGGACAAACACCTGGCAAGACAGAGCTCGTGCTGAGAGCAGTCTGCAGTTCAAAATAACAATATTCATTAGAGGATATAGATACTACAAAGTTGACTTCATCAAGTGAGAAATTCATGAAGAATAAACACAAGCCTAATTTTTTTTTAACTTGGAAAGACTCAGTTTGATAGTAGTTGGTCATTTTTTCCCTGCAAATCTTCCTTCCAGCTCTTAGAACTGCTCTGAGAACAGGAGGAAATATATTCTTCCCATGCCTTTATTGCTGATAGTTTCTTCTGAGAAGCCTATTTTTGCATAATACCTAAGTATTTGTCAGCAACTTTTCCCATAAAAGGCAGTATTTCCACATCCTCTTTTGTAGTCAGTGTAAATTTACATATTCTTTTAAGTCTCTTTTGGCTGTATTTCTGCTACCATTCAAGGCAAAGTGAAGGGAGTGGGACTGGGTTTAGGGCTGGTGCTCCCAAATAGAAGTACATTTTTTCTATTTAAAGCTCTCCCCAGTGGTTGGTATTAGTGACAGAATTCTTCATTTCCTCACCAGAAGCTTTCTACTCCTCAGGGGTGCAAGTCATCTTTCTCATGTTATTTTATGGCAGTGTCAGGGCCCTAAGTATGCTAAAAAGCCTTAATGGCCCTGATCAGCCACACCTGGGGCCACCCCAACACCCATGGCCCAGGGCCTCTATTTAGGCTCAGCCCTGGCTACTTACTCCCTGTCTGAACTGTGCTGGAGGAGATGTGGTCTCCAGCTCAGCCATGGTCTGGTGATGTGGATCTCAACCTATGGGCTGACTTCCATACTTGGCCTCAGACTTACCTCATCACCTTGATCTTGCCGTATGATTTAGACTCTTTGTTAGACATGGCCATTGTCTGCGAGTCTATCCTGCTGTGGGGCAGGGCCCCTGCCTGGCCAGCTGTGCGATTACCTTGGTTTGCCTTGGGATGCCTCCTTGGGATCACCTTCTGTTAGGGAGCAGCTGGCCCTTGTTACATTACAAACCCTTCTGATGGACCAGCCTTCACCTGGACTCTGATTCCCCCCACAGCACCAACAATTTACTGACCCCTGGACTCCTAATGAATTCTCTTCTAGCCTACTGGGGCTCATCAGGAACAGACCAAAGCCAAAACCTCTGTGCCACTCAGGCCCTTCTTGCCTCTGTGGCTGTTCAGGGGTGGCCTGACACCCTCACAGTGATTTAGTCCCTCTACAGCAAGTCCCTACTGATCCCAGACCTGTGTGAGGACATGCCTTGCTGAGAGGGGAGGCTGCTGTCATGGCCCTGAGGGCACTAATTGGCCTCATGATCCTGATCAGCATCACCTGTGGCCTCCAGCCACACCCAGGAGCTCTGTGTAAGCTCAGCACTCTGCTGGAGGAGGTCCTCTCTGGCTCAACTGCAGTTGTGTCTGGCTACAGAGTCCTTTGATCCTGGCTTCAGCCTGTGGGCTGATGTCTTGGCTTTGTCTCATCCCTGTGGACCCACATGCTGACCACCAGACCTGATCCTAACCCTGACCTGTGGGTGGATTTTCTGGCTTGATGTTGGACTGGTCTTGTTGCTGTGATATTGCCTTGTAATCTGGACCCTTGGTTGTACCTGGCTGTTCTTTCTGTGTCTGTTTTGCTTGGGTGCTGTGGGACCAGGCCCTGACTGGGGAGGCACTGCCCTGCTAGCTATGTTATCTCCCTTGACTCTGGGGTTCCTGTCCCTTAGGCAGTACCTGGCCCTTGCTGCACCCTGATAAGCAATGAGCAGAGCCAGGTATGATAATATGATGTATCCTGTGGCTTAAATACAATTTTGAGTGGCAAAGAACTGTATTTGTGGGGGGAGAAAAAAAGCTGAGCATAGGGTTCAGCTGTATTTTGCTCTACTGGTGTATTTACTTTGGGAGATATCATGTCCTGGAATGGTTGTGTGTTCCTCCTCTTGCTATGAAGATTCAGCTGGGATGGTGTTAATTCTGTCCCCTTTCTTTCCTGCTAGCGTAGGGCATAGCTTACCTTGCTGCAGCTAGTGCAGCAGAGTTTGACTGCAGAGTTTGGCAGACATCTGTGCGTTGGTTGTGTGCAAGTCAGTGCTTTCAAGGCTTTCTTCTCAGCTCTGTGGAACTACATTTTAAAAGCAAAAAACTGCAAGCCTATTGTTTCAAGCCCACAGGGCCAGTCCTTGCAGTTTTGGGAGGGTGGAAGCAGCCAGCTACAAACTGTGAGAACAGTCATCCTAGGTCCAGACTACTGGTGCATCCAAAACAGTGGCCAGTTGTGCATGCCTGCTGAAGAATGTCAAAACAGGATAAATCTGCAGTGATGTTTAGCATACTCTTCTGGTTTCCTTATGCACAAATCCAAATGCTGTTGATCCATATGTCTCTCCTGATACTTCTCTACTTTTTTTTTTTCTTTCTTTCTTTTTTCCTGCTTCTGGGGGAAAAAAAGGTACTGCATTGCAGTGAATCAGATGTTTGTTTCTGGCCTAGGTAACAGTCACAACAATTGGTTATGGAGACAAAGTTCCCCAGACATGGATTGGGAAGACAATAGCTTCCTGTTTTTCAGTATTTGCTATATCTTTCTTTGCTCTTCCAGCGGTGAGTAGAACTTTGATCACTTTATTAGTGTCTGTCTGACTTAGGCTCACAATCAGGTAGTTTTAAATTGGTGCATTTGATAGGAAATAATGAGGTTGGATGTTGCTTCAGAATGTGCGTGCACATATCCTCAAGTGTATGTTTGTGTGTCTGTGCACACACACACACAAACGAATGAAATTGCCTGTATCTTTATTGCAGTCATTTTAGAGAGATGTGGCCTAGAAAGGAGGTAAGAATAGTTTTCACTACTCGGAGAACTGAAGCTATTCTGTGAGGTAAAGAGAAAGAGAGGTCTTTTATCAGCATGTTGGTGCCAGAGGTGAAACGTCCTTCATTTCTACTATTCTGTGATTATATAAGAACAATTTGGGGTCCTGTGAAAAGAGTAATAATGCCATGAAGCAGAGGTCTAGAAAACTGCATCCTATATGCTACTATAAAGCATCTTTGGGCTTTTTGGATCTTCAGCTAAATGAATGGGGGGAAAATAAAGACAACAACATCAGAACAATTAGAAAAGACGAAGTATTTCTTCAGTAACTATCAGTTTTAATAGAAATACTGAAATTGTAAAGCATGTCTTTGGCTTCTTTGCTCAATTTGCCTGGAAAATCAAAGTGGATTCTGGCTTTGGTTGCTTTTATGGCAAGGAATTAAAAACAAGTTACTGCCTTTGTGAATGCCTCTGACTAATGTTACCTGTAGATCACAGCAATAAACACATGCTATTTATTGAAGTTACATGGTGCCAATATCAATGTGCTTTTCAGATTTATTTGTTGGAATAAATAGAATTCCATCACTGTGGACATTTGAAAATTCAGAACTTCTCTTTTTCTAGGAAAGTCTTTTATAAAACGTCTGTTTATTTCATATGCTAAGTATTTGGTTTAGGCATGTGAAGACATATCGGAGTCTGACTAGCAATTTTGGTTACATTTAGGGTATTCTGGGGTCTGGTTTTGCCCTGAAAGTACAACAGAAGCAACGTCAGAAGCATTTCAACAGACAAATCCCAGCTGCAGCTTCTCTAATTCAGGTAAGGCCTGAAACAGTAAAATGCTTAGGAGAGTATTGGAGAGGGACTGTGCCCTAGTAGTTAAAGTACTGAGAATCATAGTTACTAGACTTTATTATAAATCTATGACTTGTGTTTAACCACTTTCAGTTGCTAGAGAGAATTAGATAATTGCATTCACAGGCATAATGACAGTAACGGGATGCAATGAGTCTATTTGGTGAAATAGAAAAATAGAAAAAAAGAAAATCTTTGTTATAATCTTTAATTCCTAACTTCCTTTTCATATTTCCTTAGATCCTGTGCATCTGCCAAATCCTGAGGTGATGAATATGTATACATATACATGTATACACGCATCTCGGTTTAGAAAAATGTCCCAGCATAACATTCCATATGATAATATAAAGCATGCAATAGCTTGGTGCACAAATACTAAAATGTGGCACGCTGCAGACAAAGTGAAACAGCAGTATTCTATGATGCTTGTGGGGATTCACTTTTATGAGGGTTGTTTGGTTTTGGGGGGTGTGTGGGGGTTTTTTGGGTGCTTTTTTTTTTAACTGTAGGCAGGGTTAGACCCCAGCTCTTAGGGAGAATTCTACAAAAAGCATACTTAAGATCACTGTGTGCTGAGTGTATGTTTCCTCGTGCAAATTACACTCACCACAGTTATAAACAGGGAAGAGTATATTTTTGTGGTATGGTGTTGTGTGGTATAGCACAGTGATTGCAGTCAGAACCCTTTGCAGCACGTTTACAATGATTGAAGATTTTGCTGTCAGTTTGATTTGCAGCAAAATTTGACTTACCTGTCCTGCAGGACAACAATGACTGCTTATTCACTGAGATTATTGGGTTTGGGTTTTATTATAGACTCTGTGGCGGTGCTATGCAGCAGAGAAATCATGCAGTTCTACAGCAACATGGAAGATCTATGTTACATCACCGGTCCAAAATCCCAAAAAAACACCAGCGCCATCTAGCCCTATTCTGAGAAAACAGGTAATGGAGAGTTGGCAGACCTCTATTTGGTTCTTACTTTTAATTTGATTAAGGTAACTTGCCAAAATCCTTATGAAGTGTCCAAAGAATTTGGAGAGCTGAAAGGCATTTGTAATGGGACGTTTGACTGTTTTCCTCATGCCACAGTAAGATTAGTTTAGTTTTCCTTAAAATATTCCTGCGGGACAAATGTCTTCTAATTTTAAGTTTGCCCTGGTGGTCAGACAGGTGCCAGTTCTCCATTGTTTTATCCCCTTGGAAGTCTCCTCTACCTTCTCAAAGGGTAGTGTCAATCAATTATGACACCTTCCTGTTTTGCATTAATTTTGCATAGTAGTTCATACAGGAAGAAAGGAGAAAGCTAGTTTAAAAATTTATGTTTGCATTCAACGTGGCTGACAGTATATATGCTTTTCTTGCTCAAGTACTTCTCTCCATGGTACTTTTATTTGGGACTGTCTGTAGAAATTTGGGCAAATTCCTGAGCTGTGGCTGCAGTGAAGTGGAATAGTGTTTGTCTACACAGGTGGGATTGCCTGAAAATAGTTGTGTAGTTTCGTTGGCAAGGTTGCCTAGCCTTCAGCACCCCTTCTGGAAAGGTCGGGGTCTGCAGCAGGTCTAGCTCAGATACCCAGGGCTTCTAAGTGATGTTAGAGGACTGGTTTTAGGCAGTGAAATCCCACTGATGCCTGTTGCCCAGTGGAGAATTGCAGTACAGTTTCTCCACAGCATGTGTAGAAAGTTGTAACAGCACGATGTGTGTGCGTGTATATGTTTTGGTGTTACAGCAGTGTGATCTACTCAGTGTTGAGCAAATTGTAACTTTGTCATGAGACTAGCTTCTTCATAACTAGAGGCAGAAAAAACAGCAGGAAAAGGGTAAAGCTGAAGTAAGGCTGGGTAGTATGTGCTGCTAGATAGCAAGCAATCCATGGTGGGAGAGGTGGAAAAATAGACAGTTTTTAGTGCCCTTAGTATTTTCGCTGTTTTCTCTAGTGAGAGGGATTTCCCTAACATATTATTAAACCTGAACTTCCCTGTGACCTGCTAATTCAAGAACATAGTAATGGTTCTTTCATCTCTTACCAATGGATCATCTCTTGTCAAAGGAGACTAGTGCTTTCTTTCTCTACCTAGCCTCTTATTTTAAAGACTTAAATGTATATTGATCATCTTGTGCATGTTGTAGCACTTTGTTCTCCAGAGAATTCCTAGTTCCTTTTCCTGCTATGACAGCCCATAATCTTTGCCTTTAGAAGCATTTTGATGCATGGTAGTACATCCGCTGTCTACAATAAATGCCCATTGTTACCATTTTTGTGCCCTTTTTGATTAATTTCAGCTCTGCAGCAATCAAACAAAAGCATGCTTGAAGAGAAGAATGAATTCCAAAAGACTGAATGCAGACCGTAATAAAATAAGAATTGGTTTACTTAGACCAAGTAGCATTGTCCCATTTGTGAATATATTGAGCCTGCAGCTGTTTGTGTTAATATGTGTGAATACTCATTCTCTCTGATGACGCTTATTTTTGCTAAATGCTTAGTGGTCATACCAGAGGCCAGAGTAGTTTGCAGAATTGAGTACAGTAGCCCTAGATCTCAGCTCCTTGTCAGAAGGTTACTGGAGCATCAGGTAAATTAAAGTATTCCTCTTAACCTCTGTTTTGAGGGGTGTGAGTAGTAGAACCAGGTGAGACTAGAGCTAAAGGGTAGGTAGTCATGAAGACTGGAAATAAATGCTATGTTGTGAGAAGTAGTATTTATGTAGCTAGGTGGTGGCAGCCTTCAGGAGGCAGACAGCACAGGCCATGTAGTCAGTATATGAGTGGCTGTTATTTTGGTCACAAAGGCAGATGGAAACCAGCCTGGTTTGGAACCAGTTGAATCCAAACCTTCATTTTTTGTTCTTATGTACCAATTGTAGGGTGTTTATTAGGTTGCCTCTTAGGCTTCTAAAATCAGGAGAACTTCAACTTTGGAGACAGGAGGAAGGCTGTATTGTCTCCTGATGTGCCTAATTCAGCTTTTTTTGGTAAAAGGTGAAATTTTCTTTAGTTGAAAAGCCTGCACAGTGCCTATCTCATAATTCAAAGTCTATGGTTATGTTTAGTTAGAAGTTTAGAAGGATGTTACAACCAAGCTGTTGTATGCTCAAATGATTAGTATTTTGGGTGCCTTGAGTTTTAGACCCAGTTTGAGAAATTTTACTTGAGACCTGATTTTCAGAATATGTTAGGCATCTTCTTCTGAGAATCAAATTCTTACCAGATTTAATTTCATAATTCAGCCTCAGCCACTTTGAAAACATTAACCAAGGTTGTAACACTTTCACAGGTTGTAACACTTTCACTGAATTTCAATTGCATTCTTTAAAAAAACCCCAAAAGTACAACCTCAAATGAATTTACTGTGTAGTGAAGTTCACGTGTACTTTTCTGGTTTTGATAGTATCTTCTGATACCATCTCATTTCTACTACCACAGGCTAGAAGATACAAAAGAAAAGGGAAACTAGGCTGTGGTAACAGTTCTGCAACTGTAATAAACCCAGGAGAGAATGCCTTGTCTATTCCACAGATCACTTATGATCACATTGATGAACAAGAAGGCAAAAAAGATGTGTCTTTCTACATTGATGAACCAGGAGGTAACTTACTTTTACTTATGTTAGCATTTTTTAAGAGACAATGTTAAAGTGAATTGAACTGATGAAGGGAAATTTCCATGAAAAAATAATTTAAACTAATTAGTAAAGCAAGATGCCTCAAACCAAGGACAATTGCATAACAAAAACAAGGGGAAAAAATTAAAGGGAATGTTTTGATTCATGTGGTGTGAAGGTCAAAAGTGCTTTCTTTGTTTACCAAAGATAACTCGATTAAGATTTTGGATGTGTTGTTAATTCTACTTTTCTGAATTATCTCAGACATGGATGGAAAGCTTCCTCAGATCTACCCCACCTTTAAACTTTACCTCACATAGAGCCTGAAGGAAGGAAAACAAACCAGGAAAAATATCTTTACTTTTTACAGCACCCTCTTAAACATTGTGCAAATAAATCACATAGGGACAGCTAAATATTTTTATGCCTACGTAAACAAAGAGGTTTTGATAAGTGGTTTTTTTTTTTCTTGCTTCATTTAAAATATTGTGTGTTGCTTTAAGTGGCTGTTGTATTTCAACCTGGAGACTGGCTGAATTTCACTGCTCAGCTACGATACTGCTTTGTTTGTAAAATTCTTTTTTTGATTAAGTTTGTAGTGGAAATGTGGGTATGAAATAGTATTGTTTACTCTAAAGTGAGTTTTTTTGGAAAGCTAATTTTTCCACCTTTGTGTTGATTTCCTTTGTCTGATGGGGTTGGGGAAACTTGTGCTAGTTCTGGATCTGCTAAATCTTTAGCTCAAGGGGAGATTGTTTCCTCATAGTCTGAGGAGTTACATTCCATACCTAGAGGCATGCAAAGCCTTGCCAAGGTAACTGAGGATTCGAGAGATGCTGGCCCTAGTCAAAGGTATGTTATCATGTGGTGCTTTGACTTAGGTTTTCATCTGTCTTTGATAAACATGAACATCACGTCTGTATAAAATTGCTACTCTTATGTGGCGTTGAAGCTGACACACAATTTCAGCCTGGAGAGAGCACGGCTGTAGTCTTGACATGATGGTTTCTTTATTAAAAAGTACTTTAGGTATTTTTGCCCCCAGAGGGAATATGTAGTGTCTTCTGTATTGAACACAGTCAAAAGTAGGAGTTTCACTGGGTTGCTCTGACTTTGCAGAGTTCCTAGATTGTATTGTTAATGCAACCGATGTCATCCATGCTAGAGCAGCCAGTCAGATGTGGCATAGCAGGGATCTGAGAGCTGTGGCATATTGAGGCACATCTGTAAGGAGTAGGAGCATCTGGCTCCCACAGGGATTTAGAAAGACTTTCAAGCCTGTGATTCGTGCAACTGATAGCCATGAACTGCAATTGTGGGAGGAAGAGTTTCTTCCACTGATGGAGGTTTTCATTACCCCTCATGTTCTTCCTTACATTTTATAATCTTATATAAATCTTGTATCTGTCACTTTGAGGTCAGAATGCTTTTCAGCAATGGTGGTATTTTAATTGTTGTTTGGCATTTCCAGTGCTTTTATAGAGTTCTGGGAAAGGGGATGAAGGGTGTGATTTATAAATAAAGTTGCTGCTTTAACTATGTGTCTCTTAACAGAATACTATGTTCATTCTCAGCGTGTTTATTGGCGCTGTGCAGCTTCCCTTGCTGACCATGTAACAGCAGATTTTGCTGAGTGTATTTTGATATCGTGGTATCAGTCTGTGATGGACAGAAGCAGCAAAGTGTTGTATAACTTGTGACAGTACTGCTGTCGCTAGCCGTTGTTCTCGTGGGGAACTTCAACTTGCTGGACATCTGCTGGAAATACCATACAGCAGAGAGGCAGCAGTCTCGGAAGTTCCTAGAGTGCGTGGAGGATAACTTTGATGCAGCTGGTAAGCAAGCCTACCAGGGGAGGTGCCTTGCTTGACCTGCTGTTTACTAACAGAGAAGGGCTTCTGGGAAATGTTGAGGTCGGAGGCAGTTTTGGGCTTAGCGACCACGATATGATGAAGTTCTCGATTCTGGGCGATGCCAAGCGGAGGGGCAGCAAAACTGTTACCATGGACTTCTGGAGGGCAGACTTTGGCCTCTTCAGGACCCTGGTTGCGAAAGTCCCTTGGGAGGCAGTCCTGAAAGGCAAAGGGGTCCCGGAAGGCTGGGCCTTCTTCAAGAAGGAAGTCTTAAGGGCGCAGGAGCGGGCTGTCCCCGTCTGCCGTAAGACCAACCTGCGGGGAAAACGACCGGCCTGGCTGAATACGGAGCTTTTGTGGAGACTCAGGGAAAACAGGAGAGTCTACCGCCTTTGGAAGAAGGGGCGGGCAACTCAGGAGGAGTACAGGGATCTTGTTAGGTCATGCAGGGAGGAAATTAGAAAAGCAAAAGCCCAGCAAGAAGGTAATCTGGCCAATGTTGTAAAAGATAATAAAAAATGCTTTTATAAGTACATCAGCAATAAAAGGAGAGCCAAGGAGGATATCCATACTTTGCTGGATGTGGGGGGAAACATTGTCACCAAGGAGAAGGAAAAGGCTGAGGTACTTAACACCTTCTTTGCCTCTGTGTTTAACAGCCAGACCAGTCATCCCCAGGGTACTCAGGTCCCTGAGATAGTGGATAGGGATGGGGACCAGAATGGAGCCCTCATAGTCCAGG